CACTCCTCCTCCACAGATCTGTTTACATCTCCCATTCATTCCAGACCAAAAAAGAAATTCTGTGTAAGAACTACTTTCAAGTGTCCATTTTTCCTTCATTTGCGCTCATATCTAAAAGCCTTTGGCATCTACCCTCAGCGTCTGTAACCCAGTTGACTTATGGTTCTTTAATCTTTGCATCTTCCTTAGCAAGGAGGCTCCAAATTCAACTTTGGAAGGTTACAGGTTAAAACATATTTACTTTGGCCTCCTAAGCACGCCTTCCCTGCGGCCATCCCTGGTGGCCCTGAGGGCAGCATCTCCCAAATCCCTGGCATCTGCAGGCCACACTAGTCCCTGCGTGCTCCTTTCTCCTGGTGGAAAGAGGAGGTAAAAGAATAATGAGGACCCCCCACCCCCAATTAACTGACACTTGCTGGCTCCTGGCCACCACACTGGTTTCTAGAAGCCCCTGCTCTGCCTTTCCCAGTCTTTTCTGTGTGGTATCAACCTCATAATGGTCCTCTGGCCACAAATTAACTGGGGTTCCACCAACAGAGCCCCGACCCCTCAGCCCTCCACCGCACCACGGTGTTCTCACAGCTGAACTAACCATCCTCTCTTGCAGATCAAATTGAGATGAGAGTAGAGACAGCAAAAGCAGAGACGCAGAGCTTGACATGGGGTGGGGTGGAGGCATTGCCAGCTGGAATCTGCCCTTCAGGTGAATGGAATAACATTTCTATCACAGTCACCCTCTAAGTTTTAGACAAAAGATTTTAAAAAAGAAAAGCAAGCTTCTTCAGCAGGGTGCCCAGTAAAAGACTCACACACTCCAGTAGCATTGCCCTTGCCTCCTGTTCAGAGGAATGAGGAAGCTTGGTGGCCATGAGATTATAGCCATCGCCTCAACAGCAGCCATCGGAATTGGCATCCCATCTGTGGGCCTTGCTCCTGACTCAGCGGGGAGCCAGCCTGCCCTGGAGGGAGTTCCTCTGAGACTCCTCTGAGGAGTCTGTGCCTTTCAAGGTCAACATGGCCAGGAGGGGGCAGCGGAGGCTTCTGAGCTCTTTAAAATGTTCTCTAATCAACTGATCTCAAGAGAATTATGGAAGACAACTTTGTTGGGTATTCCAGCTTAGATATCTACACCTAGCCCCTAAATCCCTAGTAATCTCCCCCTTTTTGGCTGTGCAAAGAGGAGGAAGGATGGGGGGAGGGAGAACATCTTTTTTTACATGGATAGGAGCTATTTTCAACAACTTTTAGTTCTTGAAAGAAAGGTAATGTTAACAACTGGGAAACATGCCACTGATGTCATATTCCTGGGAAATCCCTCCACTAGGAGAATCTCTCTGCCTCTCCTGTGATCCCGGGGTTTCCCAGGCAGCCTCTGTGTGGTCTAGAGATAGTGCCGCAGTGAGCAGGAGCAGTGAGTATATTCCAGAAACTGACTCACCCACTGAGGCAACACTTCTGATTTGATCCTAAACTTCACTCAGAGATTTTCTCTTAATAACTGCCCTGTATCACCCCTATGGCCTTGCCAGTTATACCAAACCAAGCTAATCTGCATATGTAAATTGTAGCACATTAACTGGCTTTCCCTCTCTATTTGCCCTTAACCTGTTAGCTGGAACCACTAGCCAGTACTCTTTCTGAAAATGTCCCACCTCTGCCTCACTACTATAGTATACAAATTGCATGAACAAGTTTAGTTAATTGGCCCAATATCTTTAGCGCCTTGAAGGTTACCAGATCATTAGAAAACAAAGATGAAAAAATTGGTTGCTTAGACATTCACTCCACACCTGCCATTAGTGGATACAGCACAGAATTCAAGCTCAGCCAGAATGTTCGGGGCTGGGGCGCAGCTCCGTTGCCTCGTAGGGGAGGGCAGTAGGGTCTCCGGGCCCCTGGGCGTACATCTTCAGGGAGTCCTACCACCCCCCTCCCCAGGAGACCGTGGATGGAGCTAACTCAGGGAACAAGGAGCAGCTCTGGAAAAGGGTCTGTGATGGATGGCACAAGGACTCCAGGCTACCAACTAATTCTAAGTTTAGCTCAAAAAGTAGAACCTATGCCAAGTAGTTCTTTCTCTTTTTTTAATATATTTTATTAGATTTTTTACAGAGAGGAAGGGAGTGGGATAGAGAGTTAGAAACGTTGATGAGAGAGAAACATCGATCAGCTGACTCCTGCACACTCCCTACCGGGTATGTGCCTGCAACCAAGTTACATGCCCTGGACCGGAATTGAACCTGGAACCCTTGAGTCTGCCAGCCAACACTCTATCCACTGAGCCACATCGATTAGGGCATCAGGTATTTTTTTTTCAAGAGAACTAGGGAGTCACAGAGAGTAGCCAACAATAAACAGTTGGCTGAAAGTGCAGGTGCCCGGGTCCAGCTGGCCCAGTCTTCCCTTCCAGCTCACAGCTGTGTGTGTGTGGGGGGGGGGGGGGGGCGTTCCATTTGCAGCTGGGCAAGGGACCAAAGACAGGAATGACCTCACCAGGTCATCTAGGAATGTCCTTTGGGGGCTGGTGGTATGTCTGTGGACTGTGGGTTCTCGAGAGCAAGGGCTGTGTGTTAGGCTTCTTCCTGTTGGTTCCACTTAGATTCATTCTGTAATTGCTTTGAGAGTTTATTATGAATGGTTAGTTTTTGAGTTTTTGTTTTTTGAGACTGTGCACTTTGTAAACAGAACAGGCTTGTGTGAGGCTCACAGGCAACACTGCCCCAGCAACTCAAAAATGCCCTCTGACCCTAGTGCCCATCAGTAGATGAGTGGATGAAAAGGCAGTGGTACATGTACACTGTGGAATACTAAGCAGCAATAAAAAAGAAGGATCTGAGTCAGCATGGAGGAACCTGGAGAGCCTTATGCTAAGGGAAATAAGCCAGTCAGAGAAAGACAACATGATCTCACTCACATGTGGAATCTAATGGACTAACAAGCAAAGTAGAGACAGACTCATAGATAGAAAACAAGCTCATGGCTGTCAGGGCAGGAGATTGGGGGGCTGGGTTGTGGGGGGTGGTAGAGGGACTGAGCAAAAAGAGACAAACATGCCTTTTAGGAAGTATTGTCTAAAGCTGGAGAAAACGTTTAATCTGTGTGATTCTCCCACAGTGCCGGTCTCATTAACCGGCTGGGGACCCAATGCAGGATCTCAGGCTCCCGTCCTCCCACTCCCTGCTGCCCTCACAGCTCCCCTGTCTGCTCCTTGCCCCCCATTGCAGAGACGTATCATGAGGATTCTTAAATCAATACATATTAAAATAACAAGATAGGATCAAGGTGATTAGAACAAACCTAAACTACATTTTGAAATAAAACATGACTTAAATAGATGAGATCTTAAGTGGGAGCTATAAGAGGCTAAAAATCAATCATAGAAAAGCAGTTAAGACCTTTAAACATTCCAAATGAAGCATTCTATCGTGTTTAAAAGTAAAATGAAATAAAACAAATAGTTTAAATTCTTTAATGGCTGGGGTTATTCACTTGGACCAGATGACTCAGGTGAGTTCTCTAAATTGTTTTCGTTCTGGTCCTATTTGGGATGTGAATGACCCAGAGGACCTTCAGGCTTTGCCCAGGGTTTTTAGCAGGATGGGATGGGGAGGAGTTTTCAGGGTGGATCCAAGCTGCTGGGAACCCTGCCTGGTGCCTGGGCATGATGTGTAGAATAGATTGACCTCTGTATGACCCTCCCCCTCCCTTCCTCACTGAAGCCTCAGAAACACAGAACCATTCACGCAGGTGCACAAGCACTTGACCCTCCTGAATTCCCTCCGTGTGTGTGTGTGTGTGTGTGTGTGTGTGTGTGTCCATGTTCTATCGCAGCCTGCTAGTCAAATTCTGAGCCCAGCTTCCAGGCCTGTAGGTTGGCCGGCAGCTCGTGCTCCTCCAGAAGCAGAATGGAGATGGGACTGTTCTGCAAATGGCTAGAGAGCATCCCTGCCCTTTCCTTCCCTGGCCTCACCAGCACCTCCATCCTTCCCCAAAAGAATCCTACCGATTTGCTATGGAAAAAGGAACTTACCAACACATTTGTTGCCAAAGGAGTATTTTAAGTCTGCAAGCAAATGTCTGGTTGTGCACATTTTTATCCTTCAAAAATCCATTACAACGTTTCTTTGTACCTTAAAGACAGAAACACAAGAGCAGCCATCTGAAAGCAGAGGGTAAAAGCAAAGTCGCCACCTTCTAGAAAGAGTTAACAGCTCAGGAGGTCAGATCAGGCAGGTGTTCGGCTCTAGGAGCTGAGAATGGGGGTGGGGAGAATGGGAGGGTGTCTTCAGGACCAAACTCAGGAAGTGGGCAGAGAGCTGTGTGGCACTCAATGTGGCCACTGTCTTCAGCTCCTGCCCCAAACCGAGCTCAGCAGTCTGACCCATGAGAGCAGCTTCTTGGGTGTTAGCAATCATATTTTAAATTGTGTGCAGAGCTTTCCAATTTACAACACAACCCCACACATCGGTCACACCTATAGACTAGTAGCTAAGCGGGACAGCCTCCCGCCTGAGCCTCAGCCTGAGGACGAACCCCTGCTATGGAGGGAGGTGAGGCCACCTCTTTAGACCCTCCACAGTGAGAATTAAAACCCAGTCTCCCCCGAAACCCGAGGGGTCATTGCTTGCCAGCTCCTTCGGTGGCAATGCTGGGTAGAGCTAGAGTGAGTGAAGCTATCTTAGAACAAGTGGTAGGTTTTGCTGAGTGAAATAAGCCAGTCAGAGAAAGACCTCCATCCACAGAGTCCAGAAGATCTCACTTGTACTGGGTGTGAGCTCTTTCATGTGTGGTGGAGATGGGTCCTTGGTAGACGTGAGACCCAGCTATGCAGAGCCCACACTCACGGTGCAGAACCCACCAGGCCTGTGGTTGGTATTTCTGTCACTTGTTACCTTTTGCCCTCTCTTGCCACTGTGTTGCTCCTGTTAGCCAAGACCTAGAATACCGATCTCTTCGTTGGAGACTCATTACAGCTTATCTCTATCTGCCTTTCTTTAAAGCCATCTGAACATAGCCAATGCTCTCCCCTTATGGTAAGACCAACCCTCCAGACCACGCTCTGAGCTTCTGTGACTCCTCTAACACCCCCCACTCTTACCACTGGACCCCAAGTCTCCCAGAGCCCAGCCTGGCTCCTGCTGCATGTGGCCACCGTGTCCGTCTTGCACCTTGCCTGCCTGGTCTCGTGGCGCTGTGACGTGCTGTCTGTGTAATGGTGTCCCCCTCCCCTCCCTGAACTTCCCTTTGGGTGATAATTCACTGTGATCTTGACTGTCTAACCAGCCACTGGGAGAGAACTGGACCCAAGGGCAATTTCCTGTTAAACACCCTGAGACCCACTAGCTAAGCCTCTAGCCCTAACCTGACGTGGGAACGTTGCACCTTCAAGCGTTTTTCCCAGGGTTCTCAGCGGTAATGGGGTGGACAAATGCTTGAAGGTCTCCATAGTAAGACCTCCTGGGGAAAAGGGAGGAGGGAGATGATCCAGCAGGAAGCCGGAAAGCAGGCGATTACTTTCTTCTTTAATCGAGTTTCTGAGCTCCTTTGTACTGAGTTTAAGGCCACAGTAGCAGGTTTGAGCTGGGATTTGTTAGTGCAAGTGCAGCTGAATTTCCGGTCACTTCCATAGTGTTACCTGTGGAATTTTCTGAATTCCTGAGCTCATTGAAATTGGGCTATTCTATACCCACCCGCCCTCTGCAGCATGCTGCAAGCAGAAAAGCTCCACTGTGACTGGACCAGTCCGATTCACTTTGACTCAAGTGATGGAGAGGCCACTTGGTGTGGCTTTGAGGTCACACATTTAGTGGTAGGGTAATTCCCTGAACCCCGAGAGTCAGCAGACGAGATGAGGCTGGGGGGGGGGGGGGGGCGGCTGGTGGTGTTTCCTGGTGGAGGCTGTCCAGGGCAGGGCTGCACTCGAGCCTGCTCCCCACTTCGCAGGGATGGCCACTGGCTCTGCTTCTTCACTGCATGGTCATTTGATTTCTTAGAAGAAGTTGTCATGCCCACACAGGTGTTTATTCCCCACTAGAGCATTAGGCTCCTAGTCCCAGGCTGGCACCCACCCTGCAGGCGCTGGTTTTACTTTTCCCTTGTCAGACCCAGGTGCCCCTGTGGCCAACTTCTCAGGCTCTGACACTCACAGCTTAAGTTCCCTGCATAAGTGTGTTCTTTCCTCTGTCCATTCTCCCTGACCCGGTGGAACTGACAGCTGTTATAAACCCCGAGCCTCTGCTGCATACTCCTCTGGGGCACACGATCTTCTCTTAAGGAGAGAAAAATAGAATTTCCAGTAGATGCACAGGTGATAGAAATGCAGAGATTAAGGGCATCAAAGACTTCAGAATTGACCCAGAGCAGAGTGTGGGACAAGTCAGGGACGCTGCCTGCCCTTCCTTCCTGGCTCTTGGGGCAGGAGCGGGCTCCCCGCCCCACAGCCGGGCCTGCCTGCGGGAACAAGCGCCCCGGAGGCCTGGGGAGGGCTCTGGCTTGGAGGTAGAAGTAATGCTGTGACTCTTCCCCTGTCTGGAGAGTCCAAACACCAGAGGGACTTCCTGCTGGTCTCTGTGCAGCCCTCCCAGGAGGAGCAAAGGCTGTCTCAGGGTTCTCCGCCTCCCCAGGGCCTCCCCCTCTGGCCTCTGGAGCCAGCAGCCACATCAGTGACAGTCAGCGGGATAGGCCACAGGGCTGGGGGAGCAGGGCGGCCATGCTGGTGGGATGTGGGGATGGAGAGGGCCAGAGAGGTTCCACCTGAAAATGATTAAGCCAGAGATGCAGATGGAAAAACAGGGAGGCAACGCAAGGTCCCAGCGAGGACCCAGAGGGAGGCAGCAGTGGAACCGGTAACAGGAAGCCCCAGGGTCCATTCTCTCCCGGTGCCCCCAGGGCTGGGTGAGCTGCACTAGCTCTGGGAGCAGGCAAGGGGCCACCACCCCCAGCTCTTTGGCCCGGGTGGCAGGAGGAGGGGCCAGGGGGTCAGTCCATGTTTGCCTTGGGTCTGGAGGCAGATGGTGACAGGGAAGTCTTTCCTGTCCCCTGAGCCCTGCCCGGGCCTGTGCCCACGCCCCAGGACCCTCCAGGTCCAAGATGCTGAGTGAGCCCTTGGCCAGCGGCCCCAGCAATGCAGCATTATATTTCCATGTCAGCAGCTGTGGCTGCTCCATTTTCTGCCCTTTGCCCTCGCCCTCACCCTCCTGGACTCCTGAGGAGTTATCTGCCCTGAGCAGGACCCCTTGGTCCTCTCATTCCAACTGCCTTCCCTCCCTCCCCTGGAGAGGGGGTGCCTCCTAGAGGCTCAGGGCAGAGAGGAGATGGGGGTGTCGGGGGAGACTAGAACTCACTGCTGCTCGTTTCTGAAATGAAAAGGCAAGGGCTGTAAACCAGATTACTCGCCCAGCACTAAGCAACACCAAAGCCATGTGGGACAGGCTGTGAGCAGTAGGAGCTGACACAGCAGAAGTGCTGGAGGCCTGAGGAGCCGTGAGCAAGCTCTTCAGTTGGCAGCCCACAGCCTGCCCACCGGCCCCGTGCAGTCACCGGCTGGGAGAGGCCCACACCCACCAGCCGCCTTGCAAACCCACCCCACTCAGGATGCAGGCCCCGCAGCCACTCCAGGCGGGAGGGAGGCCATTGCTTCCTCAGCACCTGGCCAAGGCCAGGCGCCCCATCCCCCGTGGCTGGCTCCCCGCCTGGATTACAGGGCCTATGGAAGTTCCTCAGGGACTCTCCTGTCGCCCCACCCAGGCGCTCATGGGCTAGGAAAGAAAGTGAAGCAGGAGAATAGGATAAAGGACGCGGGCTCAGGGCCTGGACACAGCTTGGCTCTGCAGAGACCTCAGGGTCGGGCCGTCCACCTGGGAAAGGTGGACGCTGCCTGCCCCTGTGCCAGGGAGAGAGCTAGTGCAGCCCACCCGCCCTGCGCTGGTCCCTCCGGGCCAAGGGCTATGTCGCTGGAGCAGGGCCCACCCCGCTCTTGCCCCGCCCCTCTGTGTCGCTGTGTTAACTACCGCCTCCTGTTGCCAATGGATTCCAGAATGCAGAGGAGAACTCCCGCATCTCCATCACCTTCTTCCGCCTCTTCCGGGTCATGCGCCTGGTGAAGCTGCTGAGCCGCGGGGAGGGCATCCGGACGCTGCTGTGGACCTTCATCAAGTCCTTCCAGGTAGCCATCTCTGCTGAGCCCTGGCGGAAGGAGACCCCCGCTTCTCCTGGGCTGCAGGGCTTCTCAGGGCTCCCCCACCCAAGCTACCAGGGGCTCCCTGAGTGGGAGGAGACAGTCAAGGAACAAGCAGCATCCAGGGGTCAAGACGGAGCTCGCTCTGCTGCTCACGTCTGAAATGAGTCCTTTGGGCTCAGTTTGTGGTTCTCAAAAGCACGCTCTGGGTCCCCAGATTTCCCTAAAGTCAGGTGGGGAAGGCTGGAAGCAGAGGGGGGCTGAATGGCTCTGCTTTCTTCTCTCGGGTATTTTTCTGCAAGAATTGATTAGACAAAGGGACTTCGTGGTGAAACAAATTTGAAAACCGTGCCCCCAAGACTGTCCCAGTTCTGTCATTGCCGCAGTGACTGCTGTCCCTACTTAGGGGCGTGGCCAAACTCTCCAGGACCCTGTTGCCACTGCTCTCGAGGCGAGATGGCCCCTCAAACGAGCACAGGGTTGCCCAACATAGAATTGGTTCTCTTGGCTCAGCCATCATTTTCCATCTGTAAAAGCAGGATAACGATGGCCTCTGGCCATTTCTGAGAGGCTTATATTAGCTTAAGCAAAGCCCTGTCAGGTCACCGAACCCCTGACAGGTGGGGCGCTGCCATCAGGCACCTGCTTGCTGTGGAGCCTCACCCCAAAGGCATACACTCCCTCCACAGAGAGCCACCTGCCCTGGTCAGCGTCCACAGGGAGGGCTCCAGCCTGGCCCAGGCTGACTGCCTGCCACCCCTGAGCCACTCTTAGTCCCTGGGAAGCCGGAGATTCTTCTGGGAGCAGACTGGCTGACGCTGTTCAGGGGACACCTTTGGAGACCCACAGCCGTGGGTGACCATATAGGCCTGCAATGCTCCTGGGCTGGGAAGAGGCACGGGGCCTGTGAGGAGCAGCACTGGACTGTGAAGCTGGGGCGCCCATGACACACAGCGTCCACATGGTCTCGCAGTGCCATCTAGTGGAGTGCGGGCACCTGGCCGGCATTTCCCCAGGGGCCTCCCCAGAAGTGGCAAGGGCTCTGGAAAATTCAGTTATCTGGGCAGGTAATACCTAGAGTGAATAAAATGTGTGCAAGGCAGTGCAGGAGGCATTTGTAAGCCTTACATCACTTAACCTCTGCAAAAGCCCCGCGAAGTCATCGTGGCTCTTCTCGTTTTTCAGACGAGGAAACTGAGCTCAGAGAGGCCCAGGTTATCATAGCTGGAAAATGGCCGAAATAGGGTTGGGGCCATCATATTTCTTTTGGTTAAGTTTTCCTTAGTAAATGTTTCTATTACAACGAGTGGAACAACAAAGTTATACAAAGGAAGGGCGTGAGCTGCCTCCACCTGCGCCTCCCAGGGAGCTTTGGTGTGTGTCCGAGACTCTCTCCTTGCTGAACAAAGACATATGTCTACTCAGAGGACATTTTGTTTATTTTTTATTGTTTTTACTAAGTAATACCACACTGTTTTCTTTACTCTGCAAGCTGCTTTTCTCAATACTGTACTGCTTCTCAGGTGATTAAAAACAAGTAAAATGAAGGGCCAGGGCCATCACTCAGGCCTTCTCCCAGGTGCCCGGAACTATGGGGCTCTTGAAAATGCCCCCCAAGCCAAGCAGCTGCTGATGGCAGGTGCAGTGCCCGGGAAGGGGTCCAGCCAGCCAGCCGTCTTCACTGCCTCACGAGGTCTTTTTCTTCCTCCCAGGCCCTGCCCTACGTGGCCCTTCTGATCGTGATGCTGTTCTTCATCTATGCCGTGATTGGGATGCAGGTAGGGGCTCCCTGGTTTCCCAGCCCGCACTTCCTGGCGCCCTCTGCCTTCTCACCTCCCCCATGCTCCTGCCCACCCCTCCCTCCTCTCTCACCTTCTGAGGCCCAGAATGTCACAGGAATTGGAACTTGCCTCCAAATGGTATTCTACAGGTAGCAGGGTGAATGGGATTTTCAGAGAGTTTCTCTCCCCATTTTCCCAGGCCTGGTTCTGCTCTCAGAAAAAAAACACTTCCAAATTATGCTGTGAGCTCAAGAGACATGGGCCCTTCTCAGGAAACCACGGGAAAAGTGTGTCAGACACCATCCCACCCTTTGTCCAGGTCTGATGGGCCTGAGAACTATCCCAACCAGTGTCACTCAGGAGAGAGGGCGGGAGAGAGGCAGGCTCTCCCCATCGAACACACAGCAGTTTCCAGGCCCCCCACAGGTGCCACTCACCTTCTCCTGCCCCAAACCCGAGTTCTGCAGCCACGCCTCAGGGTTCCAGAAGAACACCCAGCCACCCGCACCCGGGCCAGGAGCTTTTCCTCAGCAGCTCCTTGAGCATGATTCTCCTGCTTGCTTATTGCAGAAAGACCCTAAGGATCATAGGCCAAAACCTTTGAGGTGAAAAGAGCTACCTTGCCATTGATCAAGGCTGGCAGTTTTTAAGATAAGAATTGCTTTGAAAGTTTGGGGGATGGGGTGAGGAGGCCTCTGATTTCAAGGATGCATTAAATTTGTTGAAGCCCCAGATTGCTTCTTCCACATCATCCCAGAGTCCAAGAATGAAATTTGGAAGTGTGCTTGGGCATATGGAGTTGAAATGACAAAGAAATTAATAAGTTCTGTGGATCTAATGGTGACAGTAGTTAATAGTGATACAGTATTGTAGCCTTGAAATTGCTGACAGACCTTCAGTGTTCTTACACAAAAAAACTGTGAGATGATGCATGGCAATTGTCTTGATATTGACAATGATCCTAGAGTGCTGTGTACATCAAATCCTTACCACATTGTACACTTTAAATATGTACAATTATATTTGTTAATTATTCCTCAATAAAGTTTTTTAAGAAAAAATATTCTTAAGAATATGCAGTTCCCTCCCCCCTGAAAACCAGGGAGCCTGCTCTCAGCCTCAGCACCCACCGGGCCACCGGGCCTCCTCTGAGGGCCCATGGGCACTCCTCTTACCTGTCCGTGTGGGGACTACACAGGGAGGCAGGTGCCTGCCCCCATGAGGCCCCGCCAGGTCGCATGAGGGCACTGTGCTCAGTTAATAGGCCAGCCTGTCCCAGGTCAGCTCTGACCCTGAAGGGACCTTTGAGTGATGGGTGGGAACTAGGGTCCTCCTGGTCCATGCTTCACCGAATCCCTTTCCTCTCCCCTTTTAGGTGTTTGGGAAAATTGCCTTGAATGACACTACAGAGATCAACCGGAACAACAACTTTCAGACCTTCCCCCAAGCCGTGCTGCTGCTCTTCAGGTGGGTCTCTGAGGACCGTGCACACAGAAAGAGCAGCACAGTGTAGCCCTGTGATCTGGATGTAGAACGAGAGGGGACTCTCTCCAGGAGAGTGGGCAGGGAGAGAACTGGTGCTGGGTCTCCCTCCACAGACAGGGAAGCAGTCGTTTCATTGTTATTTACAACCATCAGGCAGCCCGTGGACACGGCACAGCTGCTGGTAACCACCTGAAAACAGTAGGGGATCAAAAGTCAAATACCGAAAGCACCCTAGTTTGGAAGCTGAACAGGCTCAAAGCTAAGCTTGTTCTATGACCCTGAGTAAGAATTAACTTCTCTGAGCCTCAGTTTCCTCATAAAACGAATACAGGTGCCAGTGTTGGTGCCATTGCTGTGCTGGGTGGGTATGTCCATGTGCGTGGTTCCTCCTGGGTGAGGCAGCCACGCACCTTTACTTCTTGGAAAGCCACCCTCGGGTGCAGCTGGGGAGGGCAGGGTTCTCATGCCTGCCCGTGAGTGAGTGAGTCCCTGCCGCTTGCAGCCGGCTTCTCCTCCTCTGGCTCCTAGCCACCCTGTCAGCCCCCTTGGTTCTCATCACTTTCCTAGGATACCCCCTAGTCCAGGGCCGGGAGGTGAGAGCTGTTAACCCTGTCCTGGGCCAGATAATTGCCAGTCATTGCCCTTACCATCCCCTGGTGTTCCTTTCCAGAGGATCCAGGGATTCGAGCATCCTTTCTTCAAACCCACACCTAAGTATCATTGTTGCTTAAATGTCTTAAATCAAACGACAGAGCCCTTAAACATCAGTCTGACATCACCACCTTCCTCAGACTGTGGCTATGAGAACACAAGAGCCATTGTCAACTGCGATTTAACAACATCTAAGCCTCTGCCACATTTAAATAGGGGAACTAGACACGTGACAGAGCAAGAACATGGCTCTGTCTCCACTCCTCTCCTCCAGTCCTTGATGACAGATATTTTTAAAAGGATAAACCATAACAGTACTAGGAAGAAGAAAAGCAAACATGAATGGGCGCTATCGGTGAACCAGAAATATTGAGAATTTCCTAAGTGGAAGGAAGCAGATAGGATTCAATTTAAAAAAAAAAGAAGAAGAAGAAGAAAAAGAAAGAAAGAAAGAAAGAAAGAAAGAAAGAAAGAAAGAAAGAAAGAAAGAAAGAAAGAAAGAAAGAAAGAAATATAATATATACATTCTAAACCACTAGAGGGAAAAATGGATGCACACACATAAACTATTGCAATTCAGCAACAGGACAGAGATGCAAAGAACGGGGGAGGGAGGGAGGAAAGGAGGAACAGATGGAGGGGGAGGAAGGAAGGAAGAAAGGGAGAGAGGGTGAGAGAGGGTGGGAAGGAAGGAGGGAGGGAAAATTAGAACATAAATTAAGATGGTTGGAATAAGAACAAAAATTAATAATCATGAAAAATTAAATTTGTTTATTAAAAGATAGATATTCTAATGTTGGCTTTAAGAAGTCTAGCTCTAGACTGTTTATGATATGTAGAGTAAAATAAAATGACCTCAAGAGAATAAAAATAAAGGAATAGAAAAAGAATACCAGACCATGCTTACCAAAAATGTAGATGTAGTAATAGCAATATCAGAAGAAATAAAATTTCAGGTGAAAGAAGGATATTTGATATTGATAAAAGATATAATCCATCAAGAATATGTAACAACCGAAACCGGTTTGGCTCAGTGGTAGAGCGTCGGTCTGCAGACTGAAAGGTGCCAGGTTTGATTCCAGTCAAGGACATGTACCTTGGTAGGGGGTGTGCAAAAGGCAGCTGGTTGATGTTTCTCTCTCATCGACATTTCTAGCTCTCTATCTCTCTCCCTCTCTGTAAAAAATCAATAAAATATATTTTTTTTAAAAAAGAATATGTAACAATCATAAAACTACTTGCATGTAACAATGTATTTGGAAATAATCAATCAGACACTGATAGAACCATAAAGAGAAAATGAACACACACACAGTGGGAGACTTCTATATAGCACATAGAAACTGACAGACCCAACAGAACATCTAAATAATATAATTAACAAACTGAATTGAATAATTCTGTACTGTACTCAATAAATAGCAAAAACAAAACAAAACACTACATTTTAAGCACCCAGAAACATTTACAAAATTAGCCAAGATGTAAGTCACAAAGAAAATTTCAATAAATTCCAAAATTTCTCTTCAATATAGCAAAAATTAGGAAATAACCATAAAATTAGTAGTCTCCCCAAAATCTATTCAGTTAATTGTGTTCTGAATAACTCAGAGCTGAAACTACAAGCTACTTAGAAATGAGAGAGAATAGCCAAAGCTGGTTTGGCTCAGTGGTAGAGCGTCGGTCTGCAGACTGAAAGGTCCCAGGTTCGATTCCGGTCAAGGGCATGTACCTTGGTTGTGGGCACATCCCCGGTAGGGGGTGTGCAAGAGGCAGCTGGTCGATGTTTCTTTCTCATTGACATTTCTAGCTCTCTATCTCTCTCCCTTCCTCTCTGTAAAAAATCAATAAAATATATTTAAAAAATAAATAAAATATATTTTAAAAAAAAGAAATGAGGGAGAATAATATCTTAAATTTATTAGCTGTACTAATCAATGCAAAAAAGAAATTTGGAGCCAAGATTAATTATTTTTAAGTTTATAATAATTAAACTAACAGATGGAAAAAGAACAGCCATATTACCCCAAAGGATGAAGGAATGCATTTATTAAAATAAAAGCAGAAATTAATAAAACATCTTTAAAATATATTAATAAACATTAAAACTGAATCTTTGAAAAAAGCAATAAATAGAAAAACTTTAATCAAATCTAAATTTTTTGAGAATTTTTCAAGAGTTTATTTGAGCCAAACTAATGACATGCCAAGGAGCAGGATCTCTAATGCTCCCAAATTTTCCAGCTTCTTTTATTCACTTTAAACTAAAGAAGGAATTTAGAGAAGATTACATAGAAGTAGGGAAAAGCAGGGTAGGAATTGGATTACAGGATTGTTAACAAGATTATGGGCTTGCTTTTTTATTTGCTTTTCAATTACAGCGTAATTCAATATTATTTCATGTTAGTTTTAGGTGGACAGCAGAGTGGTTATACAATCAAATTATATAATTTATAAAGTGATCCTCCCAATATTTCAAGCACTCACCTGGCACCATACATAGTTATTATAATTCTAGAGGCCCAGTGCATGAAATTCATGTACTCAGAGGGATCCCTCAGCCCGGCCTGTGCTCTCTCAGTCCAGGAGCCCTGGGAGGAGCAGGCCTAAGCCAGCAGTCGGACATCCTTAGTGCTGCCATGGAGGCAGGAGAGGCTCCCATCACCACTGCTGCATTTGCCAGCCATAAGCCCGGCTTCTGGCTGAGCAGTGCTCCCCTTGTGGGATCAGGCCAAAACCCACTCTCTGACATCCCCCAAGGGAGTCCTAGATTGAGAGAGGGCACAGGCCAGGCGGAGGGACCCCACTGGTGCATGATCGTGGCCAGGGATAGATGTGGGAAGTTGGCCAGCAGGGGAGGAACCACAGGAGGGTTTCAGGGCATGTCCAGCCCATCTCTCTCAGTCCCAAATGGCCGAACTCCAGCAGCAAGCTAACCTACCTGTCAGGGCATCTGCCCTCTGGTGATCAGTGCGTGTCATAGCAAGCAGTTGAGTGACCTTAGCATATCATTAGCATATTAGCTTATTACGTTTTGATTGGTTGAATGCTGACCAGTCAACTGGACACTTAGCATATTAGGCTTTAATTATATAGGATTATTAACTACATTCTCTATTCTATACTTTACATCCTCTTGACTATTTTGTAACTACCAATTTTTACTTCTTACTACGTTCACCTTTTTGACATAGCCCCCAACATTCCTCTGATTTGGCAACCCTCAGTCTGTATCTATGAGTCTGTTTCTATTTTGTTTGTTTGTTTATTTTAGATTTGGCATGTAAGTGAAATCATATGGTATTTATCATTTTCTGTCTGACTTATTTTACTTATAGTAATAGGTCCATCCATGGTAGGATTTCATTCTTTATTATGGCCAAGTATTATTCATTGTATATATATGGACCACATCTTTATCTAATCATCTATGGATGGGCACTAGGGTTGCTTTAATATCTTGGCTATTGGAAAATCTTTAGCTTTTCTTGTCTGGGAAGATCTTTATTTCTCCTTCAATTTTAAATGATAGCTTTGCTGAGCAGAGTAGTCTTGGTTGTAGGCCCTGTTTTTCATCACTTTGAATATTTCATACTGTTCTCTTCCGGCTTGAAAAGTTTCTATTAAGAAATCAACTTAAAGTTTTATGGGAACTTTCTTCTAGGTAACTGTTTTTCTCTTGATGCTTTTAAAATTCTCTCTTTGTCTTTAACTTTTCTTATTTTAATTATGATGTGTCTTAATATGGGCATTTGGGGGTTAATCTTGTTTGGGACTCTCTGCACTCCCTGGACTTGTGTGCCTTTTTTTCTTCAACAGGGTAGGAGAGTTTTTAGCCATTATATCTTCAAATAGGTTCTTAATCCCTTGCTGTCTCTCTTTTCCCTCTAGTACCCCCATAATACAGATGTTATACTTGATGTTCTCCCAGAGGTTCCTTAAACTATTCTTATTTTTTTATTCTTTTTTCTTTTTGCTGTTCTTATTTGGTGTTTCTTGCTATCTGGTCTTCCAAATCACTGATTGGATCCTCTCAGTGAACCATAAAGAGAAAATGCACACACACAGTGGGAGACTTCCATACAGCACATTGATTCCTCATCTGCTATTGACTACTTCTAGTGTATTCATCATTTCAATTACTGTATTCTTTATTTCTGACTGGTTCTTTTCCATGATTTTTGTGTGTGTTTTTTAACGCTGTTGAAGTCCTTACTAAGTTTTCTTTAGCATCTTTATAATCACTGTTTTGAACTCTGTATCTGGTAGTTTGCTTGCCTCCATTTTATTTAGTTTTTTCCCCCTGGGGCTATTTCCTGTTCTTTCACTTG